CGAGGCGGTGGAAATCGCCAAGCATCCCAGTGTGAATAGAATAGAGGGGGTAGAACTTGCAAACGTGTGGAGAGCGGTCTTAGATCAGCCGAGATGACACGAGGCGGTGTGCAGTTATCAGCGAAATCGCCTGGGTCTAAAAGTACAAAATCCAGGTAGCCTTAGATCCAATTAACCAGCCCACCCCCATCCCCAAACTAATTGTCCCAGCACCCTTGGACGAACACAGGTGAACGAAATCTGTGAACGACCCCAAGAGGAATTTTCCATTAAGGTGTCCTGGACTGAAGAAGCAGGGACGAAAAAATCCGGGTTCATCATAAAGAGGAACTCCCCCTAACCGATCTATCGTAAAGCTTAGTCATCGCACTAATCAACAAACAGGGACATCAGACTGAACACCCAGCACTGATCACGTCACTAGTCATAAGGAATCTCACGGATTGGTTCCCTGACTGCCTTAAAAACCCAATCAACCTACTTACTTACTCACTTGGCCTGACGAAGCTTTTGTGTCAAAAGCGAAACGTTGCCCAGCAATAAATCCACCGATTGTTTACCAAACCCCTCTGAAACGATGACTTCCCAATCGGTCCCAAACATTTTCCAATTGATTGATAACCGAACTCTATTTGTTTTGTACGGCAACATTGCTGTTTTCATAAATACGAATATGCTGGTCGCCTGGGGGAAACGCCTTACTGCCTTCACAGTCCTATCGCATTGCACATTAAGACTTTCCCTCCAGACCGCCTCGTTATACGATTACTCGCAGTACGGGGACTCGCTGTTCTTCATCAGGACTTCTCGGCATGGTTGAACCTTTAGGAACTGAATTCCAGCCAGTACGGTCCGCAAAATTATTGCAGCACAGAAGGCCGACCACCACGGCAAGGTGATAGCTTCGGATCGAGATATTTAGCATCGGGCTACTGGACAAATCAGGCACGTGGGTTATCTATTGCTTTCCATCGTGAGTCTGAGAACAAAACAGCCTACCGTTGAATCACTCTGATTTATGATGCGACAACATTCACTACATCAGTCCTCAGCTATATCGTCGCGATAACCGTCGAGATCTCAAAAATGTACTAAAGAGGATGGCGTACACAAACACCGCATGTATCGCACATTGAAATAAACCTGCAACATAAACAGCGTTTATTAAGAACCTATTCACACAAACCCTCGGTGTGAGCTCCGGTCACCTGGATTAACTCTTATGCTCTTTCATAATCCCCTAGTATGAGCTGCTTGTCAATTTGATGCAAAATAGCTCACCCAGTCATTGAGACAGAACGAACAAAAATGTACGTCTTCAGCAGACATGTTGCCACAATGGAACGAGCGAAATTCGTATCATTTGTACATATACGTGCGGGAACTACCGGGAATCCGCACAAAAAGGAGTCATCTGACAATGCAATCTAAGGGTTTATTCCTTATCAGCATCCTGTGTTACAAGTGGTGAGGATAAACGCCGGCTTTCCCCAGAAAGATTATCACTTAACCTCGACGGAGGTGTGCACTAACATTTGCCAAATTTCCATCATCGACAGCATGACATCAGTGTTCAACACCGATGCTTCACTGCCAGACTGACAATACACAAGTTCCATTCCCCAACCTGAATGGGTCATTGGGTTGTTTTTGGGATCTACATCTATTCACCAACCTGTCACTGAAGTGCGCAAACTGTTACACAGCTTAGAGCCATCTTTCTGGGACGAGAAAATGAAAGGTAACCTGGCGTCACCCAGCATCGACTTGACTAACTTCCTCTGAGGGGACTGAGCATTCTTCTGATAGGAACTAATCGACATAGCTTAATTCAAGGGTGTTCCCCAGAAATATATCGATCCCAAGCCTGTACTCAGTGATAAGGGGAGAGTGGTCTTGCTAAAGAGTAATCGATATAGACAAGTTGCTTTCTTTGGAGTAATCTCAGAGGAAAGTTAAGTAGAACTCAGTAAGAGCAGGCTTTCCTTAACTGAGTTCATGTAGAGAATATGAATTCATTCTGTGTCGAATATCAGACGCTATCATCCTCGGTATTTTCCCTGTCATTCCATTCCCATTCACAGAGTTGCGAAAATGACCTATAATTAGTTGTACCAAGTACTTCAAAGCGCGGTGCAGGGACGAATAAAACGATAGCACAGAACAGGAACTGATGGGGAAATTGGTGAACGCGGGCTGATACTTGTCTTATGAACCAGCGATGAGAAGGGGCACATCGTTTGAAAGCTCAAGGAGTATAAGGGTAAGTTGGCGGGTAATTCATCCACGCAACAAACTGGCCAAAATATTCCGTTTTTCTTTGGGGGTAAAGCGGAGAATTTTCGAATGAATATTGTGTTCAAAAAGACACGCCAAAGACATGCAGGGTGAAGATACAATCGCACACGAAAGCATTCAGTTCAACTATATTCAGTCAGGAGCTGAGAGTAGCAAAAGTAACCCACCTTATCAACATAGTTTGGAACCAGAGTAGCCAGCAACCGGGCCACGGTAGGGCAATGTTCAGAAGGCTTCAGCAAGACTGTATTACCAGCAGCGAGCGCACCTAGCATGGGGATCAAAAGAGTAAACAAAGGATAGTTCCAAGCCCCCATGATCAGGATCACACCCAACGGTTGACGTTGGATGTAGCTCGTATCCATCATAGTCATAAACGAACGTGGAACCTATAACCAAATGAAATCCCAAGTAGGGCAACAAACCGCCTCATCTTTTAACCAATCGTCCATGTAGGCCAACATGAGACAAGCTTCCTTCTTTACTATTGCAAACTCCATCGGAACTCTGAGCGATTTAGGCTACAAAGGTCAACTATTCTGTTATGGGTTACACGACGAAAATCTTCTGATACAGCAGCTAAGATAGGGTCTTCGTTTTCTTCAAACATTGTCCGGAAAGCTCTTATGACTGATTTGCGTGATTCCAAATTAGATAGTAGGCGTTCTTCAAGGCCTTGGCGCAAATGAGAAACAATCTGATGGACGTGCGTTGATGAAAGAAAGAAATTTTACCTCAGCGTGGTCCAGGTCAGCCATGGTTTGAAGTTATGGATTGATGTTCAAGGAGAACCTGCTGAACCGAGTTCAAGGAGATTGAATCGAGGAGGGATACAGTTGTCAGAAGCAAACACGGATCGAGTGTAAAGATGACATCATTTTGAAATATACAAATTAAATTGATTGTATATCAAACCAACCGACATGGGTTTGAGCAAAGGCGTGAGAAAAAGATGCACCGGCCATCCATCTTTTCTCGGAACATTGAGAACATCAAGAAACTTTGAGCTGAATGAGCTCTCTGTTCCAGCAAGGCATGTGAAACAAACTGCAAACAAATGCCCCCCATATTCGTTTTAAAGTTTTTCGGATCTTATTATTTAGGCGTCAGCTAAATCAACCCCCTTTTAAGCTTCAGCCTATGTAGGAACGGTTGGACAGAAGATCCTCCCCAGTTAGACTCTCCGGTGTTTCTGATGGCATTACTTACCGTCCAAGGGAAGAATCTAGCAGATGGATAATTCATCAGAGTCACGTCACAACTTCAGCATAGACTATAGTCGGGTCACGATATGAAACCAGTGGATACATCTGCGTTAACAGTCTCTGCGGAGGGAGTCTAACATGCTATGCCCCTAAAAACTCACCGGGGTGAAAGGCGACGAGTTCGAATTCACGTTCATAGAGATTGGTTGATTGAGTCTATGGGACCATAGATTGCAAATCAGTACGTAGACCGAGTCCCGCTATTTTAAACATAAGCGGTAAGTCTCCGCAAACGCGATGGTATACTCCATCGGACAGATTTAGATCAGTATTAGGTGCCATACACGCTGCCAGCAGAAAGTCTTCCCAAATAAATATTCTCCACTGGTCAAGCAAAGAACCGTTCCAGGTTTCCAGCAGCCAAAAGAGAGCACATGAAAGTGATGACAATTATGCTGTTAGTTCTGTCTGACTAGTCCTGGAAGCACCGTCTGCGGAAACCTGAGCACTGCCTTCAGACTCACTTGGGATGCTCTTCGTTATGAGATTTGAAGTCACGAGTACGCGACGCTCCCAGCCTACCGCCGGGCCACAGATAGGGCATCCATCGAAGGTTTTGATGAGTGGACGGTGGGCTACTTTCAGCGTTGAATAGCAGAGCAATCGTTTCGCTTGCGTGACCATTTGCAGGACTGCGGGATATATCGGAAATCCAATGGGTTTTCAAACCCAGAAGACCCAGAAGAAACCCAGAAGACAAGCTATCTTAACACAGACACTGGACGAAATCGCTGGACGCTGCTTTACATGCAGGTAAGATACCACCGACCAGCATTATCCAGCGTCCACCGACTAATAAGCGCCGGATCTAGAGATCACCACCTAGGCTGTGACCGTGCAGTCGAGCGGGAAGCACTTGAAGGTCCGACCGACCACAGGTTGTCGTTCCGTGATCTCTGCTATAACTTCAATCCATTCGAGCTAGCAGAAGATTGGCAAGGTATATTGTTCACATGCGAACCGAAAATATTAGCCAGTTTTGATCCGCAAGGGCTCTCCGGGAGTATTAGCGACTTTCTCAAGTACTTTGGAAAGAACGAATATGCGGTAAGCCAGTGGGTAGGTTGCCGGGTGAGTGTAATCTTTTTCGACAAACGTCTAACCTGTGTGCCAGCGCACCAGCGTTCAGCGAAGACAGCTACCATCGGTGATGCAACGGAGTGACAACCTGTCAGCATCAAGTGGTGGAAGCCATTCCACCTTGATAGCCTTTCGATGGCTATCAGTGGCATTTGTGCCTGGATGATAGTGTTCGGTGTGTAAGTGTGGGTGATACAAAGAGAGAATAAAGCTTGCGAAGAGTTCATATCAACTCTGGGCCGCCTATCATGGAAGACACATCACACTACTATTTTCTGTAGCGGTTCACATCGATCACTCTTCCTTTGTGGTGTGGCTTAGCGTTTTCCGGCGGCTGCAGGTTGGAGAATTGGATATTTTCATGATAATATGCCTGTACCGGAATGCTTTCCAGGTTCGGTTGCGCCAGCAGTCCCTAAGATGTGATGGTGTTAGGTGCTGCAAGTAACAGGTTCTCCTCGTAAAGCTATACAGAGTGCTTACACCGACACTCCCTGACGCTCCAATTCATGGTCATCATATGGGAGCGAATTCAGACTTCGCTGGTTTGGGACAACCTGGCAGTCTGGCTACTTCTAGCTTCCATAGGACGACTATTATTTGGATCGGGAAGGAATCGTTGTCACCAAAGGATCATTGCACGGTCGAACCACCGATATCCATTAGTAATAGTTTGACTGCAGCAGCCAACCACCACCACCATCCACCATCAAAGTAGTCACAACGCATGCTAATAAGTTCACTGACCTCGAAGGTTATGGGTAACAGAAGGGATAGCCGTTTAGCTGTAGCGCCATTTCGGTGCCTAGCTGCTAAGCCACCCGAAGAAAACACGAGGGCTGGGATACTGCCAGATTGTCCAAGCTTAAACAGCAACAGCCGGGATGTCGATGTTGGGTTCAAGCCACGGACCGTCCAGTCAGTGATTTCGCCTCTTAACCAGTGAACCATCTCCGTTCAAATGGGCTTGGCTCATGGCCTCCGACAGCCTCGTTGGTTTGGTTGGTAAAAACAAAGTGTCACATCCCTTCAGTTAAGCCTTCTATTAGAAGTCGGCGCGTATATATAAGGCCACAATGACTATGAAATTTAGTTATCACAAGCGGTCTTAATGTGAGTCAGTGAAACCCACTCACTTCCACACCTGTGCTTCTGTAAGCTCCCCTTAAATTCGGAACGAGGCACACAATCGGTGATCCGGCACTAGTAGGAGTACAGAAAAGCAGTGAGAAAAATCCAACGGACGGAGAAGCGAAGGGACTTCTGAAGCATACTGGTAACCGGTGCAGCTTTCCGACGGCGTCATGTTAGAAATTAACATGCCCAGAGCCTTCTCATACGAGGTGTCTGGAATAAGATAGGTCTGATATAGCTAACACAACAGGATGTTTTACACATGGCACTTTTCATGGTTGGATGGAAGCAGTCATCGCAATCATCCATGCAACGGGTTCACAGCCGCTGGGAGCTCCTCTCCGATGTGAAGAGATCGGATCCTATCATGTTACGGCTCCAGAACTCCGGCAACCCAGTGAGCTATACTGCAAGATGTCAATGAAGCGTCCACAGTTTCTTCTACAAAGTCGGTGGATAATGATCTGACAAGCAAGGTGGGATTGGGACATGTACGTCTCAAAAACCAGGCCACTTTATGGGTCACACGCCAATCCTCAATGCCTTGCGGAAAGGTCTTTGAGCCACCAGCTTTGGTCGAGTAAGTTTGGGTGAACAGCAGTAGCTCAACCTATATACAACCGTTAGATACACATCACTCCCTATCAGTTGTCGCATACAAAAAGATGGATAGTTGAAAACACACTCGTCATCAGCACCTCTCAACTACACTCGTGTCCCTCTTGGTAAAAATTAAAAGGACAGCGGGTCTAGGCACGTCAGGCACGCCTCCACAAGAATGAATGTTTTCGGGGGCCAGCCGTCCCTAATAACNGCCACAACAGTCACACAGAGACCAGCCACCGATTCAAGTATATGGAGAATGCTCTCCACGGTGGACGGGTTTCAGACGATATCAAACACGAGGCACGCGTAAGATCATCAGCACAATCGCGTCATGTGAACCAACTTCAGGCAACAAAATACGTTTCGGTAAGGGGACCACGTCGCATTGGAAACCGGACAGCCGTGACATACCTCCCAAGTGGAGGGTACCAGATCCCAGATCAGCATACTGGCAGCTCCAGGGACTGACCGACATGTGACAGAACCCCCATGAGTCGTCACAGTGGAGTCCAAAGCAGCAGTCGTTTGAACAGCCCTCTCAAGGGGGTGTTCGGGGGCCAGCCGTCCCTAATAACGTAACATCACATCATTTGGACGTACGTGTCACGTGCAGGACACGGGCCAGACGAAGGCATGCCCTGATTGGTCAGAATGCCAGCCAATCCGAGTCAAGCACCTTTGACTTGACGCTTCTCGCCCCCTCACGGACATTCTGGCACGACCTTGTCGAACACTCTGTGACTACCCTATAAATACAGTTGTAATGATTTTCCTTTGTCTCCATAAAGGGCCGTGTAGAGCTACCGTACCTTTTGATATACCATAGTCAAGGAAGCCAAGGGACCGATACAGAGTTGCATTACCGTACCATCAAGACACAGTGACTGAACGCTACCGTTCACAGTTGCCGCTTTGCGTCCGCCTTCTATCCGTGACGTAACTTTCAACGTGCGAGCTCCCAAGCAACCTGGCGCTCTTACTTTTCTTGTGCGCACTCCAGACACCTCATTGACAAACAGTCGCTGCACTTCTGAAACCCTAGAGCGGGACAAAGTACAGTAATTGGGCCTATGACACTTTCACTGTCCAGATACAACCGACCAGACCTGCTGCATCAGGTTGGTATAGCTCTCATCTGGCGAGCAGAGGCTTTCTTGCTGAAGTGGGTGACCATATGTAATATAATTTGTGCCGTCCTACTCCATGTGAACTCGAATTACTCATAAAACTAAGTCAGTGATCGTTCGGTGTCTAGCCGATAAGCCACTCGAAGGAAGCACGAGGGCTGAGATACTATCAGGTTACCCACAACTATACAGGAGTCAATAATAATAGCCCTTAATTTACAATGTCTACCTATATATTCGCAAATGGTAGCTCCGACTCAGCAAGACACTGTGTTATGATGTTTCAGGCATTGTATGCCACCATCCACCAAAGAGTGGGAATAGATATCAATTTTGAACCAATTTGTTCGTATTTAAATCTTCCGAATTTTATTCATTTTGCAAAGTGGTCTCGACAA